CGGCAGGAACAGGACATGCCGTAACTTTTAACGGTTTCAAATCAGCAATTTTTATAATAACTGAACTAAAATAAAATAGTGTTTATTTTCTTGGATAACTGGACTTATAAGACCCACACTGTACTTTTAATATTTCTCTTTCATTTAATATCCCATTCCATGTGTAACCCCGGTGTCGTGTCCCCTCGGCAACAGACCACTCAGAGCTGGTGATTACTTCAGTTTATTTCCACACCTGCATTTCAATGGACACGTGAGCTGCGTTTCTCAAGAGATCCTCACGCGGTATGAAAATCTCCTTTACAAAATAAGTGTCCAATAATCAACAGCACAACAATGATCGTATAGTGGTAGTATATAAAATGTGAAACATTAAACATAAACAAACTGGTGTACAAAACTCACATACCTGCATTTCAATGGACACGTGAGCTGCGTTATGTTGGAGAGATAGCACCACGCTTACGTTAGCCTATTAGCTCAAATTAGCTATAGAGAACCACAGTGACGCGTCCTAAAACCCGGAAGTAAGATAGCATTTTTACCACTTCCGGTTCCTTCGATAAAAAGCAATGCAATTTCTCCATAGGATTTTGGAAAATAGCTCCAAATAAGGTCTGTGTTTGACACAAATTGAAGAGACAGATCACGCTTTGTTCTACGACATTAAATACATCAGCAGTGACCCCGCTGGTGATTTTTGAAGAGTTTACGTGTCTGAAAAACAGTGGTTGTTAACAAGTGGCTGAATAGGATTACAGAAGTTGTCTAGGCCGTTTTACGTCATGTGGTTAGACGTAGCAGCCTCGATCTCTATCCAGCTGTTCTAATGAAGGGAAACACAGTGAAGTAAACAGTAAAAGGCACAGCTCTTTGCAGCTGGTGCTGCTCTTCTCAGATTCTGCTGAGTTACACGTTACTGCCTCCAGTGCCCTGTACGACGAAGCCAGTTCAACAGACCCTGGATATGTTTGAGTTACCCGGCTTAACTAACCCTAACAAATGCGATCTTGCTAAGCGGTCCTACGAAGCTGGTTATCAACTCAGTAAATAGTAATAATAAGTCTGCAATGAAACGGTTCTCTCCTCTGTGCTCCACTTCCTACTTGGCACACTGGTGACAAAATACTTTCCCGTGCGCACAAGATACTCTTCTTTTCTCCATGAACCTTTTGGGGCTCCGTATGATTCTGAAACGTATTATTTTTGTTTTGTATTTTTAGCCACGATTGCTAATACATTACTTAAACCTACTATACAGTGATATAACATCATTGCTATAGATGTTTTCTTGACAGTCATTCAATCAAAGTCAAACTAGTAGACTTCACTAGGCAGTATGAAACACACCATGCATGATTATGAGCTCTTTCACATTGTGGTATGCTGAACAAGGGCCCAGGGTTACACTTTGTCCAAGTTTAATTATAAACTTTAGAAACACGAAAAAGAAAATGATTAAGTTTCGGGGCGTGTTAATGCAACAACTGTTCTTTCTCAGTTTAACTTACACAGGTCTGTCCTAGTGTTACTCAGTGTTTACTGTAAGGCCCAGCATTATTATGTACCTATAGTTGTGCTTTTGATACAAACTTGCGCGAGAGAGGATTGGTTTTGATGTCATTCATACTATAAACATTAAATATAAAATGGTTATGAAGTCAACAGCTTGTGTTTTGGAATGATTCCAGATAACTATGTTGTAACGGATCATGGATCGTGTGTCCGGACGTGCAGTGCTAACACATACGAGGTGGACGAGGGAGGAATCAGGAGGTGCGCCAAATGTGATGGACTGTGCCCAAAAGGTGGGGGCTCAAACTATCACTCTGCAACCTGGGGACATTTTTGAGGCACCAACTACAATAATGAAACTTTCATATTACTGAAACACTAGCTATGATCCAATACATACTTATATACAACTTTAAGAAACACACTGCTGCTATAATGAATGGACTTTTAGTTGTGATACTTTACAATTTGCTTTCAATAATTTGTACTTTTACTTTATATCATTATATTGATTCTTGTAGTGAAGTTAAGGTTCTGAAATCTACTAGTTTTTCCAACACAGTTTGTCTAAAATGCCATGCTCAGTTTGGTTTAACCTAATACCAAAATGAGAGTAAAGTCAAGAGCTCTTAAAAAGTTTCTTAACTGATGTTGTTTTTCTTATTGTTTACAGTGTGTAATGGACTTGGAATAGGAAACCTGACTCACATCATTTCTATCAATGCCACCAACATTGACTCATTTAAAAACTGCACGAAAATCAATGGCAACATTGCTATCATCTACACAACAATTCATGGGTAAGTTAAGGACAGTAAACAGTGTTACAGCCTGTGTATGCCAACTATATCAACTGCAATAAATTACCTTTTACCTTTAACAATGATGTAAAACATGTACATTATCATTATTTGTAGGGACCCATTTACCAACACACCAAAGATGGAGCTTTCCCAGCTTGAAGTGTTTAAGACGGTCAAGGAAATAACTGGTAAGACTACATAAGGAATGAGTAATGCATCACACCTTAAATACACATGAAACCGTTTAACAATTAACGATATATGTGTTGCTTCAGGATACTTGTTGATCCAAACGTGGCCAGATAGCATGAGCTCACTCAGTCCTTTTGAGAATTTGGAGATCGTTCGAGGAAGAACTAAACGGTATGTTCCTTGTAAAGATCCCCCTGTAGATTCACAACCTTTAGATCACCAGAAATGAATCAAGCGTTGAGTATTAGGACATTAAACACACAAAAATAACTCCCCATATCCCCACTGTGCAATAATCATGGTCTGTCTCTATGTATTCACTGTAATTATTATTATTTATTTATTAATCCTGGTCATCTACATGACCATCCGAAGCTGTGTGCACTACTTGCTGGTCGAAACTGTCAGACCTTTTAATCTGTGTTTTAATATGTCTGTTTTCAAAGCACTCGCTGGAGCAGTGACTATAAATCTCATTGTATTCTGTACAATGAAAATAAAAGCTTTTGAATTTCAATTGGAATTTTTCAAGGCTGTCGTAAAATCTTTCCTTTTTTTCCTTCTCCTCTTCCTGCTCCACTATTTTATCCTTGGTAGTGGTAGCCGTAGTTTGATGATAGCTCAGCTCACTATCAACCACTTGGGCCTTCGTTCCCTCAAAGAAATCAGCGATGGAGACGTGGTCATCTATAAGAACCGAAACCTGTGCTACACCAAGAAAAGCCACTGGAAGAGGCTCTTCAAATCAGAAAGACAGACTGCCACCATAGAGGAAGATGCTGATGCTGCCACATGTGGTAAATTGAAATTGGTTTCCCACAACAAATTCAGCCAGATCCTCTTCGTTGATGTGTAACTTCTGATTACGCAATGCACCAACCAGATTCAATTAATGAAGTCTAATCACAAAATTGGGTAATCATACGGGAAAGATCCTTGAGATTGTTTGTTTGTTTTCAGCCCTGTTGAACAACATTTGCGACAGGAAGTGTACCGCGGACGGCTGCTGGGGTCCCGGCCCTGACATGTGTTTTGCCTGTCGAGATTACAACCGAGCTGGGAGCTGTGTTGACTCCTGCAACATCCTGGAGGGGTAAGGGAGTTTAATGCCTTTTTAAGCTCTGAAATGCAGAGTTTCTTACGTTAGACAAACAAACCGTCTGAACATCAGATCCGTGCACTTTACAGTTAACTCCTTCAAAGTCCATTTTCATACAACAAGCATTTCCAGACTAGACACTGGGGATTTGTTATTGAATCAATTTCAAAGAGCAAATACGATCCAAGGTATTTTAAATTAAACCTCCAGAAGACAAACACTGTAGCTGAAATGGCACATTTACTCAAATCTGTTGATTTTTGCAGATCTCTGTCAAACATGTAATCTTGACATGCTTACAATTTAACTTGTGCCCTCAAAGAAGGGATTACATGTAACTTAAAACGAGGCGTGCCAGTGGGGAGAGTGTGTCAGCTTTGTTTTTGTTTTTGCAGAGAGCCGCGAGAGACTGCGGTGAATAAAACCTGCATCGAGTGTCACCCTGAGTGTCATCGCATGAATGGGAGCGCGACCTGCAGTACTCCGGTACGTTTGACACAACTGAACATTATGCAGAAACTTTACTGTGGAAAAGTTTGGCGAACATTATCTATTCATCTCAAATGTCCTCAGTAAATGTCAGTCGCCCAGATTCAAAGAGAACCACAAATTAATAATTACGTAGCATGGCAGAATGTTTCTCAATCAACAGCAGCTTTATTAGACCATAATGCAGTGCAGCCACAAGACGTGTTGTGTTTGGGATGAGGGGTGTGGCTGTTTGATCTAGCTGGAGCACAGTCTACTTCTGAATGCCCATAATCTTTTCTTTGACTGAAAACAAGTTCCAACCCCTTTTTGGGTTGGTTGCAAATAACTATAGGGAATGTAGGGTTTTATTATTGACAAGAGAAGTAGACCGTTTGAAAGAAAAGTATTGCTTTGCTGCAACAATGTTGTGCTTGCATAAAGTAAGTCCACAAATTCTGGGTGGGTTTTTATTGTCAAACAGTTGCATCTTTATGAGGAAGATGTGCGCATCTAGCTTTGAGAAATTATTATTATGAGACAGGGCAGTTTACATAATATTTACTCCTCTCCTCAAGGGAGTTGTAAACATCTCAATGTTTCTCTTTGTCTTTCAGGGATCTGGAAACTGTACTAAGTGTGCCAACTACCAGGATGGCCTGTTCTGTGTTCCCCGGTGTCCACAAGGCGTGCCAGGGGAGGACGACATGCTGGTGTGGAAATATGCAGACGAGATGAAAGTGTGCAGGCTCTGCCACAAAAACTGCACTCAGGGGTAACGACTTCCTGCAGCCCAGATGAGAACTGGCACTGCATTTCTCTGTGTTGCAAACATTTGTCTGTCGTAATGTTGATGCAGTAACTTAATCCGATCCAGAAGGGTCAGCTGTGGTGCTGCTGGCACAAATTGTAGAGAAATTGGCTCCTAATATCAAGACATTTTTGCTGAGATTAGTGATGAAATTTAGTATTTAGGAGGGGAAGTTAATGAAGATTATAGTACATTTTCTAGTTTTCCCATTTATTTAACATTTTACACATCATTACATGTATTACTTAAGCTCTTTTTCCAAAGCATATCATAATTGTATAGCTTTCTATATGCTGTTATCGTTGGTTTCCATTTGTTTGCAATGGATAGAGGTCTGCACTGCACCATATAACAGAACAAAACTAACTTTTACAGAAAGCAGATGTTATGTTCACTGACTATCAACTTTCAGCCATGGTGGTGTTGTTAATGGTTATCTTGGATATTGTTTCAACCAAACCTGTGTTGATTGACTTCTGTAACCATATTGTGCAACCTTTTATCAAGTAAAATATGACGAAGATTTACACAACTTGTGTTTTGACTAGTGTAGTGTTTTATAAATACAAAATTGCACTACATTTAACCCTTAGATGCACGAGTGACCCTACTAGGGTTGCAAAGGGGCAAAACATTTCCGGTAAATTCCCGGAAAGTTTACATGGGAAGTTAAGCTGGGGAATTTTGGAAATATTCGATACAAAATTAAACAAAAAACATGACATTTCAACAGATTATTATTTATTTTTTGAAGTAGAACAGAACAAGTTTTAATTATTTTATTGAACAACTATTTGTTTCATTGAACAAAAACAGGAATGTTGAGTTAAATATTACTCATCCCCCCAAACCCACTCATTAAAAAATGAACAGAAATGCACCCCCATCCAAAAATCCCCACAAAGTCCCATTCAAAATGTTAAATGAAAAGAGCCCTTCTCCCTCCAAAAAGTCCCATTAAACATGCAGATCTTCCTTCAAGCAATCCTCTGCATTTTTGCTAAACCCTTTCAGTCAACAGGCTCTTCCTGGGCCTCATCAACATCCAACTCTGAGTCTTCCTCTTCAGTGTCACTGTCCAGTCTTGTTGAGGATGGCTCTGTGTCAGGCTTACCTTAGATTTGCCCGAATGCCAACCAGTTTTTCCACTCTCACATTTGTGAGTCTGTTGCGAACCTTTGTGTGGTCTCAATCAAAACACTCTCACTCCATAATCGTCCAGGAGCGACGTTTGGTCAG